TTGGATGAGTGCGTCTATGTAACCACATGCCACGGGGCAAGGAGAGTGGTGCATAGTAGTTTCTTTCACAGGGAGTAGGGATAAAATATTAGATTGAACTTTATGAAAGATTTTTTAGGTCAAAACAGATTGAATATTGGCAATTTGATATGCCTGAGCCAAATATTTCTGCTTCTTATATGTGGGTATCGAGTGCCAATTCTACCAGAATGTGGTGCAAGAGCACCTAGGATGCACAAGTATTGTTATACTTAGTAATGACACTGGACACTGACACTGAGGAGTGTTAGGCTGGACCTCCACAGGAGGTCTGACCACAGCAGAATCTCTAAAGGATTTAGAGACCATGGAAGTGGAAATAGAGGGTAAGAAATAGTGATGAAGCCACAGGGGGTATCCTGGGAGACTTTGGGCACTGCTTAATTAGTATGTATTGCACTAAAATTAATTGGAACCCCACCTAAACATGTTGAGGAGGAGACAAAAGTATAATTGCAACTTTATTACATTTGGGGGATAACACATTTGAGTACTCCACCCAGGAGAATGGAGTATCCCATGAACAGATTATTGATTGAGAGGCAGTTAGTTAATGGTATTGTCCTTCCATGAGGCTCCTTCCCTCACTCTTCCCAGCCATTACTAAGGTGGTTTTCTTTTTTTTTTTTTTAAGATTTTATTTATTTATTCATGAGAGACAGAGAGAGAGAGAGGCAGAGACATAGGCAGAGGGAGAAGCAGGCTCCCTGCAGGGAGCACAATACAGGACTTGATCCTGGGACCCCAGGATCATGACCTGAGCCAAAGGCAGACGCTCAACCACTGAGCCACTCAGGGGTCCTACCAAGGTGCTTTTCTTAGAATGTAGTCTCAGGCCCTCTGCTTTCATTCCTCCTCACCCACTTCCAGGAGCTCTTTCCATTTACATAATTTCATCTGATTCCCTACCCATTAGAAAGTCCTTTCATCTCACCCTCTTGACAGTCTCATTGGTCTGGGTGCTACTTTCCTGGTTAATTTCACCCATGCACCCTTCCATTTAATATCCATAAATGTTTATTAAGATCTTCAAATGTCTATTTTTTTGTAAATGCTTTGTGTTCTTCATTTGGGTGCCTTGTGTAGTTCGACAGGATTGTGAACTCTGAAAGTGAAGATTTATTCTCAGGAAAGTTTGATATAAAACTGGATTCAGAGGAGATATTATGTATGTGAAAGCATACTTGTTATTACTGACACATATAACAATACCTCACCTATCCAGGAATCAGGTTTCTGTGTGTCTGGAAATCTCAAATTTCTGGGGACATGACTAACAGACACAAAATAAAATGAGAAAAAGTACTGAGAGAATTTAAGAAACCCAAATATGTGTCATGGTATCCAAACACTAATGCTCATGAACATTTCACATGTGATGCTAAATCTGCTTATTCTACATAGAAATCTAACAAGTTTGAGTACATGCCTTCTATAGCAGATTAGAAATTTTGACCAAAAGGATTAATATAAGTAGGTAAGAAACAAGAGGGTTAATATGGCCATTACATAAAGATCAAATATCAAAAGAAAAAAGGGACAGAAAAAATCAGAACGCAATATGAGATTTCAAAAGAGCAATTTTGGGTCATTTAGTGTAGTGACAAATAATAGGATTTTCAACTGACTCTGTGCCTATATTAAAATTTAAAATAATATTTTCTTTCATACTGATGCACATATTTTCAAAATAGTTAAAGGTAAATAGCTTTTAAGTAACAAAACATAGATTTTAGTCTTTAAAAAATAACATCCAAAGGTTATTTATTTACAGATTTATTAAGGTTTATGACTGAAAATTGTAATGTTCAGTCATCCAGAAATTCTGCTCTTTAGATCAATTTATCACCCAAGGATTCTAGATAACTGAATTTCTGTTTAATTATTAACTCACTCAGTGTGAGGTTAATAAATGCCATTTATTATTACCTAAATGATTAATGTAAAATAAACTTCTATTATATCTAGCTAGTCTAATCTTTGGGGAAGAATGTGAAATATGAGAAATTTTATCTCAATTGTGACAGGTCACAAGTTGCATAGATAAAGGGAAACTCAGTGACATACTTTAACCCAGTTTTGTAAAATTTCTCAATTTCTCTTTCTACTTGTATTCACAATGACAAGCTGCAAGTATGATACCTCTGAAGAATGAATGAGAAACTTCAATCTGGTAGTTTACTAAATAACATCCTTTCAGACCATATGGATGTGGGTGTGAAGTTGTTAAATAATAAAGTCCACAGAGGTAGATCAATGATCACATGCAGGATACCTGTCAGACTTTCTGGGCAGTAAAGGAGACCTTCCAGCTCAATCTGGCAGTTACTCTTGCAGGGCCAATACCCACCATGACTTTAGGCAACAGAATTGAGGCAGACAGCAGGTAGGGCTATAGCATGGAACCACCCAGAAAAGCCAACTCCACCAATACCTAACTGGTGGTGGACCCTCAGACATCACAGCTGAGGGGCATCCTCCTTTTCTCAAAGGCACTGAAGATTGCTTTTAAAATCTGGCCTACAGTTCCATCCACGTTGAAGCAAATGGTGGGTATTTGTCGTGTGGAAGGGGAGGAGGGTGGGGGTGGGGGTGAATGGGTGATGGGCACTGAGGGGGGCACTTGATGGGATGAGCACTGGGTGTTATTCTGTATGTTGGTAAATTGAACACCAATAAAAAATAAATTTATTAAAAAATAATAAAAAAATAAAAAATAAAAATTATCAATAAAAAAAATTCAATCGTTAAAAAAAAATCTAGCCTAAGAATGACCATTTGCAACAACCTCTGATACAGAGCAGCAATAGCCGCAGGACACTTTCATACAGGACAAGAATAGTATATGACAAACAGAGAAGGGTCAATGGGAACTGGGAAGCATAGCAAGGGTGAATAGACATTTAAATATCCCTTGGTTGAATTGTGTCCCTACCATCCTCTCCCAAAACTCGTATGTTGACATCCTAACCATTAGTACTTCAGAATGTGGCCTTCTTTGGAAATAGGATCATTGAAGATACTACTGGTTAAGGTGGGGCCATACTGGAGTAGAGTGGGCCTCTAATTCAGTGACTGAAATGGGAAATTTGGAGCTAGAGGGAGTGCCTAGGGAGAATGCCATATGATGAGGAAGGAGAGATGAGAGTGAGGCATCTATAGGCCAATGAATGCTAAAGACTGCCAGCAAACCACCAGGACGCAGGAAAGAGACATGGGACAAATGCTCCCTCACAACCTTCAGAGGGAATCAGCTCTATTGACAACTTGGTCTTGGACTTCTAGCCTCAACCACTGTGAGGCAATAAATGTCTGTAATTTAAGCCACCCAATTTGTGGCACTTTGTTATTGCAGCCCTAGGAAATGAATATACTCATTTAACCAGACCCTTATATTTATTTTATTTTTATGTATTTTTAAAAGATTTTATTTATTTATTCATGAGACACACACACACACACAGAGAGAGAGAGAGAGAGAGAGAGAGAGAGGCAGAGACACAGGCAGAGGGAGAAGCAGGCTCTGTGCAGGGAACCTGATGTGGGACTTGATTCCGGGACTCCAGGATCATGCCTTGGGCCCAAGGCAGGCACCAAACCGCTGAGCCACCCAGGGAACTCCCAGTTCCTTATTTTTAAAAACTAATTACCAGAAAACCTCTGTCTAGAATTTGTAATCATCATATTCATATAATAGATGTACAAATAGAAGAAAGAAAAATAAATAGGTGAATAGGTTTTAATTAATTCTAATTGTTGTATTTCTACATCTATAGGTCTATCCATCTACCTAACCTCCCTCTATAATTCCGTTAACTACATGGAAAACTGTCCACCAGTCTTGTCTCATGTAGAGGCGTGAGTCATTATCAGCCTCCTCTCTCTCCCTGTTGCTGTATACATTCTAAGCTTGTTAGGGGTCACTGCACCCCTAACAGAGTCTGTTGACCAGGGGACCAGACCAATTAAAGGGTACCTTTCATGGCTTCAGCCACACTTCTGTTGGGGGTGTCACAGGTCACATCCAGGAAATTAAACAATTATCTTTTGTGCAAATACTATGTACAAGGCCCAGGGTGAGGTACTTGGGGACAATACATAAATAATTAACTATTCAGCTGAACATTAACAGAATACAGACATCATTTTTGCAGCTTTTTATTAATAATATCCTGGACAGAAAAAGACTGTGGACTGAAGAGCCAAATTACAGGACTTCTTTGATTTATGATAGGTTTTACACTTCTAAGTTCTAGAAAAGCCTAATTACAGCATTTTCCTCCTCCTTATAAAGGGGCACATTCTCTAAGGGTCCCTACTTCCTGGACATTCACTGAGGAAAGCCTTGTCACCAAGAAACATAATAATCAATAAAGTCATAGATAATTTATTATTGTATGATTATAATAAATCATTTTACATATACCTCTTCCATTTCAAAGGACAATTTTCTCCTAACCTCTAAAATGCGTACTACTTAATTTCACGTATATTGTGAAAAAATATGTAGTTAGGGATAATTTTATTTTGAAAATAACTTTTCTACTTCTTTGCTTATTTTCTTTTTTTTTTCTTTTTCTTTCTTTCTTTTTTTTTTTTTTAACAAAAAATACCAACTTGGTTTATTGGATAAAAACAGTGGTAAAATGGACATAAAGCCAAAAGTTAGAACAGGACATTTTCACATCCTACCCGGACTCAAAACCGTAATTTCCATCATCTGGGGTTAAGGTGTTAGGGAGCCAGAGCCCCCTAAAATCCCTCACTCTTCACCTTCACTGGAAACAAGGCCTGCAATAGGAGAACCCAGGAAAGGAGAAAATCAGAGACAATGTCAGCCCTGTCTATACCTTCATCCCTAAAAGTCTCTGGGTTGGAGGGAAGCAGGGAAGGAGTAAGGGGGCCAAAATGGCTGGGACAGGCCTCTAGGGCCCATTGCCCAAGATGTCCTAGAAGAAGTCATCCTTGTCCCCATCCAGTCCCCGATAGTACCATCGTCAGGCCTTGCAAAGAAGAGGAAAGGGGATAGTTGGTTCAAAAACCAGATGTGGTCTCCAAACCGTTTTCTGGCGCCAGTAAAAGCCCAGAAGGTGACCATCCAGGGCTGGAGGTGCCACACCTTTTCCCTCCTGCCCAAACAAGAAGTAAAAAGGAGTTCCTTGGGACACAGCAAGCCCAGCTGCTCTTAAATCTCCACGTCACTTTCCTTATCGTTGTCATGGTTTCCATCATAGAACTCATTGGGTGCCTCTGGCCTGCTGTAATTCTCTTCAGGACCCCTCTCCTCTGCATCAGCCTCATCAGTCCTGTCATAGGTCAGGAGGTCTGCAGGCGCATCATGAATTTGGACGCTGGGTGCATGGTTCAGCATCTTCAGGTTTTCAAAGATTGTCTGGAGGATCTGGTCCAAATACTGGTGTGAGTTCTGATTCTCGATGCGGGTGCTGACATCTGGATGGAGCGTGAAGTCTGGGACAAAGTACTCGAAGTATTCACTATAGGGAAGCTCCTCACTAATGGCCTCTTCTACCAGCAGTGATGTTTCATATGTCCAGCAGCGGGCAACATTTCGCACAGTATAGCCACCACCACCTAGCACCAGTAGAGGGATATTGAAGCTCTTGACATATTCGACACATTCCCCATGTCCTCGAATGCTGAGGTTGAAGCAGCCCAAACAGTCACAGCCCAGAGAGTCCACTCCACACTGGAGCACAATGCACGTGGGTTGGTAGAAGTCCACCACCTGGTTGATAACTGGCTGGAAAAGGCGCTTGTAACTCTGGTCATCAATGCCATCCCCCAAGGGCACATTGAGACAGTAGTAACGGCCACTCTCTGCTCCAACTTCATACATATCACCTGTGCCAAGAAAGAAGTAGTTTCCGTATTTGTGGAAAGAAACTGTCATGACCCGGTCAGTGAGGTAGAACGCTTCCTGAACTCCATCACCATGGTGGATGTCGATATCAATGTAGAGCACCCGAGGGTGGTACTTGAGCAGCTCCAAGATGCCAGTCACAATGTCATTGACATAGCAGAAGCCAGAGGCCTCAAACTTCTTGGCATGGTGGAGACCACCAGCCCAGTTAATGGCAATATCACAGATCTTGTTGTTCAGCTGGGTTGCTCCTTGCAGAGATGCGCCTGTGTAACGAGAACAGAACTCGAAGAGCCCGGGAAACACTGGGCAGTCATCGCCCACGTTGAAGGCATTAAGGCTCTTGGTGAAGCCTTGCATATTGGTGGGGCTGACTCTCTGCAAGAAGTCGATGTAGTCCTCAGAATGAAAGCGGCACATGCCATGCTGGGAGGCCTGGTATGGCTTGAAGACGATCATTTTCTTATAGAGACCGTAGTGCAGGACCAGACTGTGGGTCAATGCCAAGCGATGGGGCTTCATAGGGTTCCCTGCCCCGTAGTGGAAGTTGCCCACATCAGGGTCGTAGAAATAGGCCACAGTCTTGGCCATGGTGCTGGCGGGACCAGGCCCCATGCCTCCACCACCACCCGCCCCATTTGCTTATTTTCAGTGACTTTATGGAAGATGTTTTATGAAATGCTTTGAAAACCATATCCCCTCCCCTGTGTTCATGAAGCACATAGGTAATAAAAGCTTCCCACACAGGACAAATACCCACCATTTGCTTGAACCTTACTGGATAAAAGGGACTTAATCTCTGCTCCTGGACCTCTGAAGACCGACTTTTTAAACAACACCATCTAACCATAAACACAAGTACTTTTCTGACTTATACACTAGCAAAACTACCTCGGGAAATAATTTGCTTTATTTATGGGATGGGAAGAGATGCCAAATAGCAATCATAGACTCAGTGAGTAAAAATTATTAAGATTCTAATGGAAAGGGGATCCCTGGGTGGCGCAGCGGTTTGGCGCCTGCCTTTGGCCCGGGGCGCGATCCTGGAGACCCGGGATCGAGTCCCACGTCGGGCTCCCGGTGCATGGAGCCTGCTTCTCCCTCTGCCTGTGTCTCTGCCTCTCTCTCTGTCACTGTGTGCCTGTCATAAATAAATAAAAAAAAAAAGATTCTAATGGAAAGAATGTTATTAAATCTGAATCCTTTCATTGAACCCAGTATTTTGTTATAAATGGGTTACCATAGAATGTTTTCAAATTAATGAAAGCACCCTTTATTTGGATATCTTTAGAATTAGCTTTATATAAATTAAAATCATAACATGTGGCTCCTATAAGTTACAGTTCTGCTTTTATTCAGCAGGATCAGTCTAGTTTAGTATACATTTATAAAACATATCTCTCATAAATAAATAAATAAATAAAATCTTTGAAAAAAAATGCTTGTGCAGGATGATCAACCTTATCTTGAATGACGACTAAGGGTGGCCAGGCATGAAAGAGGGGAACAGAGGTATGCTAGGTCAAGGGTGGAACAGAAGCCACTCAGGTGTGTGAACAGGAGGAGGGAAGAAGCAACTGTGGTTTTTTATGCCTGGGGCACAAATGAGGCTGTGAGAGATGGAAGCTGTGGGTGGAATTTCTGGAATTTGAGCTAAGCTGAACAATTTGAAAAATTGCCATTCTTAGTTATTGATCTTTTATTCAGGTCAAAACAATGATTCTTTAGTGATGGAATCTCATGAAACAGTAAGTGTGTTGGGACACAATTTTAAAAATTGATATTGAAGATAAACTATTAATCATAATTATGGTATAACACATCTCTTTATAGTTTTATCAAGTTTTAATTGACAAACTTCACATTTGATTAAAAATATAAACATTATTAACATCTGTGTAAAACTGTCAACTCAGATAATGAATATAAAGATATTGATAATGATAATGAATATAAATCAGATAAAGATAATGAATATAAATCAGATAAAGATAATGAATATAAATCTTTCACAAAAGTGTCCTCATGTCTCTTTGTAATTACTCTTTTCCACTCCTCACTGGCCCCACCCTTGTTCATAGGCAACCATTAATCTGTCTCCTGTTACTATAGATTAGTTTGCATTTAATAGAATTTATATAAATGGAACCACATAATAGGTACCCTTTACTGTCTGGCTCCTCTCACTTAGCTTAATTATTTTGAGGTTTGTCCGTGATATTGTTTGATATTGTTTGTACATGATATTGAAGCATCATATAGTTCCCAAATCCAGAATATATAAAAGTTTCAGCATTTTGAAATTTTATCCATTCTAGTGGATGTAGTGGTGTATCATTGTGGATTTACATAGCATGAAAAACTGTTCATCATCATTAGTCATTAGTAAAATGTCATTTAGGGTCATAGGTCCTTTGTAAGAAAAGGTTATTTGGCCACAGACTAATTCTAAGGACTGTAAGCTTAAGATATAGTTAATGAAACCTCACAATGGAGCACTGTGAATTTTTGGCACTGATGTATTATGATTGGTTATGTGTTAATTTAAATTATGTGTTGTGACTGGTTTTATATATGCTGTTTTAAAAAATTAGTGTTATTTTGCATGGATTCCTCGAGACCTTAATTGTCTGGCCTCCTTTTGTGTTGCTGGGTAGCTCTTCCCTGAAACTTGGTCCTACCCTTGGAGGCCTGGCACTGCAAGTAGGTGGCAGGACGATGCCTGGTGGGATTACAGAAAGGCCACTTTCTGTCTACAGAAAGGTGAGCCACTCATCACGATGGTAGGAGGCAAGAGGACACATGGCTAGCTCATGCTGTTGGAAACTTCTAATGTTCTATCCTCCTGGCCAGATAAAAACTATTGGTTATTTGAGGACCTATGGTTGTTGGGGAAATCTCCTTCCCTATTCTATTACCCTTCTCAATGCACTGAAACAGGCCCAAGATCAATTTCTCCCCTCCACCTAGGTATTATTCCCCTTCCTATAATTGGGTCTTGGGAGGCCAGGAGCCAAATAAAAGCTTGCCTCTGGTCTTATACAAACTATATAAATTATCTCTCCATATGGTCATTTGACCTACAATCTAGAGAAAATGAACATATTGTACTTTAAAATTTGTCTTTCATCAGATCGCTGCAGGTCAGTCAACTAATTGCTTTGGGTTTTAAAATTTTTCTATGAGGGCTTTATACTAGGTAGTGCCTCATCCCTCCCAGCTCTAAACTCTCCACATTTGTAAACATCAATTTATGGAGGCGTAAAATTTGTTATGGTTCACAAAGCTTAACTGTTAGTTCTTTCTTTCCCCTTCTCACTTCCTATGTAATGGAAACATCTGGCACGGAAACTAAACAATATTAGGAATGTTGATTGAATTTTTTTAATTTGTTGGGTCGTAATCCGTGACGTATTTTCTTAGATGTTTAAATTTATCAGGAAATTTCGGTTGGCACTATCGTATTACTTGCCATTGTTACATATAGATTATTATATTATTTATATTTTGAATTACTCATGTTTACTATTTGCTGTTCTCTCATATAAAGAAAATTTGCTGTGAGGAAGGACAGAGGATTTATAAGTCAACTGGGTGGCAACCATCCCTTGGCTCCAAGAATTGGTGGGCACATTTTTCTTCTAAAATGGAAAATAAGAATCACTTTTTTTTAAAAAAAAGATTTTATTTATTTATTCATGAGAGACACAGAAAAAGAGAGAGAGGCAGAGACACAGGCAGGGGGAGAAGCAAGGCTCCATGCAGGGAGCCCAACGTGGGACTTGATCCCGGATCTCCAGGATCACACCCTGGGCCGAAGGTGGGGCTAAACCACTGAGCCACCGAGCTGCCCTAAGGATCAATTTAATTACTAGAAGAGGGCTATCACTTTGTAGAAATCAATAGTACCATAAATATTCTAATATTTTAAAAAACCCTATTATTTTTTTACCAAAGTTGCACGTTTTAAACAATCAAATAGTTTTCTAAGACTTAACAAAAAACTCTTCACTTTGATATCTCAACAGAATAATATGCTTCTAGATTGGACACTTCTTAATTTTTCAATTTCAGTCCTCAACTGTTGGAAATGTAAAACAAGGCATAAGCTCTTTTTCAGTTTCTCACAATAATACACACACACACTTCCTAAAGCTTCAGTTTATCATACCTCTACCTTAGTATTACTATAGTATAAAAGCTCTTAAAAGCTGAATCTTTTAAATATACAGTGATTAGTTTTCCTTTTCTACACATCTTATTTTCACTGGAATTAATAATTGTCCTATATTTATTTGATAACCTTTTTATGTATTTATTACTTGGAATACATAAGAAGCTTTTGAGTTGAGTTTATGTATTATTTAACCTCCAACTCTCCTTCAGTTATTCAGATCTTGCAACATGTCCAAATGTTGTAGATATTCTAGCAATTTCATCTTGAACGTGTCTCTCTCAGAGCTTTTGGACTTGTTTCAGTCTGGACTGGTTTTATCTTACTCCTCCCACTCGGGGTCATGGCGGGGGGTCCCCTCTCACCATTGTCCTGGTGATTACTCTCTCCTTCCCTCCTGTATCCTGTTTTCTGGATTCCATGTCTTCTTTTTCTCTCTACTCCCTTGGTATGGGGTGGCACATCCTCTTTCAGCTTCTTTAAATAGAAAGCATAGGAGATAACTTTTTCAGCTTGCTATTTATTCCATCTGAACACTTAGTTGATAGTTCTGGGTTTAAAATTTCAGTTTGGAGATGAACTTTATTCAAAAATTTGAAAGCATGAATCCATTATCTCCAGTCTTTCAGTGTGGTTGTTAAGAAGTCTCATTTTTTAAAATTATTTTTTTTCCTTTTTATAAAAATCTTTTTCTTCTCTCTTTGAAAGCTTGTTTTTCTGCAATTTCACTACACTTTTATATATTGTGCAGAGCACTTGGTGGGTTCTTCTATCTGCAAACTCCTATCTTTCTGTTTTCAGAAATTTTCTTCAACGATTTATTCTATTTTTTAAAAAAGATTTTATGTATTCATGAGAGACACACAGAGGGAGACAGAGACATAGGCAGAGGGAGAAGCAGGCTTCCTGTGGGGAGCCCAATGGGAGATTCAGTCTCAGGACCCTGGGATCACGCCCTAAGCCAAAGGCAGACACTCAACCACTGAACCACCCAGATGCCCCTTCAACTATTTTTTATAATTATTTCCTTCCCACCACTCCACGTTGGTTCCATTTTCTCTTTTTCCTTTTTCTAGAATTCTAAATATCTGAATGTACTCTATATTATTTTCTTGCTATTTTTCACCTGCTTCTCTGGCACATTTTCTACAAGATTTTCACAATCTTATTTTCTAAACTTTCTATTGAATTTTTAAATTTTCTGAAATGATCTATTACATATTCCAGGAATTTTATTCTCTGAATATTCATGTTTCATGGACATGGTATCTTCCCTTCTGTCTTTTATGATATTAATGTTAGTTTTCTTTTTTTAATCCTTTCTTCCTTCTGTCTTATCTCTGTGCCACACTTATTTGCTTCTATCTGTTCATTTTGCCTTCTATCTTTTGTGACTGGAATATTTCATTTTGCAGGTGTTGTCTTCAAGGTTCATCCA